CCCACCGGTACCCCAGAAACTGCCCCCGGTACCCTTGTACCCCCCGGTACCCCAGTAACGGCCCCCCGGTACCCTCGTACCCCCCGGTACCCCAGAAACTGCCCCCGGTACCCTCGTACCCACCGGTATCCCAGAAGCTCCCCCAGCTCTGCACCCCCGCCACCCCACCGCCCCCCATCGCCTTCCTCATGCCCCTGTGTACCCCAATGGCCCTGCACCCCAGGACTGCCCCAGTACCCTCCCAATCCCTCCTACCTACCCCAGGAACTGCCCCCCGGTACCCTCATACCAACCAGTACCCCAGGAACTGCCCACTGGTACCCTCATACCAACCAGTACCCCACTGGTACCCTCGTATCCCCCGGTACCCCAGGATGTGCCCCGGCTCTGCACCCCTGCACCGCCCCAGCACTCCAGCTGCTGCGCCGGTACCCCGGTACCCCACTGATACCCTGATAACTGCCATGGCCCTGCATCCCTGGTGCTCCAGAAGCTGCCCCCAGTACCCTCCTAATCCCCCCCTCCCCGTACCCTGGTGCCCCATAACTGCCTCCTGCACCCCGGTACTCCCTGGTTATCACACCCCCCCACGCCGGCACAGCCTTGTGCCCCCAGCCAGCCCAGCGGGTCCCACAGGTGCTGTCAAGCACGGAGGAGATGGTAGAGCTGTACCGGGAGCTGAGCTGGCACCCAGGGCTCAGCGCTGCCTGCCTCAGCCCCGATGTCATCACCCAGGACGGGGGCAAGTACTGCAGCCTCTACACTGGTATGGGCACAGGGTGGCCCCCCGGGGAGCGTGGGGGCGTTTAAGTGGGGCTTTGCCTGCCCAGTGGGGACACAGCGGATGCTCTCACCCCGCTTCTCGCAGAGTGGTCACAGCGGGACCTGGCACGGGCCGAAAATGTCAAGTTCTGCCGCCAGTACCTGATCTTCCACGATGGAGCCTCCATTGCCTCTTCGGGGCACATCGGCACCTGCTCTGAGATCAAGGACGAGTGAGTCCCATCCCGTCCCCAGCGTCCCCTTGGGATGACAATGGCAGGGGGCTGACAGGCACCCACCTGCCCATAGGCTGCTGAGTCGGGAGTCCCCCAGCGGGGACCTGAAGGCCATCCTGCGCAAGGTCCCCGGCAAGGAGAAGGAGAAGCAGTTCCTGGAGGTAAGGAGGAGGTTGGTGGGGACCAGATCCATGCTGGGGCTCAGGGCTGGATCCACGCTGCAGCTGGGAGCCACCCTGGCATCTCTGCCCCCAGATCTGGGATCAGAATCGCAAGGTCAAGAGCATCAACCTGACAGTGCTGGACAAGCATGGCAGTGTCTATGATGATGGTGAGGGGCCAGGGGATGCCAGGGGACATGGGGGACGGGGTGGGCGGTGCCTGACCCGTCCCTGCAGACCAGTTTGGCTGCCTGGCCTGGTCGCACTCGGAGACCCACCTGCTCTATGTGGCGGAGAAGAAGCGTCCCAAGGCCGAGTCCTTCTTCCAGAGCAAAGCCCCCGAGCTGGGCACCTCCGATGAGGACGCGGGGCTACCCAAAAAGAATGACAGGCCCCTCAAGGTAGGGTCCCCCTGCCCTGGGCTCCCCCAGCGGGGGTGGCCATGGGGCTGACGGGGCTGTGCCGCAGGGCGAGCAGTTTGTATACTACGATGACTGGGGGGAGGCACTGAGCACCCGCAGCATGCCTGTCCTCTGCACCCTGGACATCGAGGGCAGCAGTGTCTCGGTGCTGGAGGGCGTCCCGGAGCACCTCTCTCCTGGCCAGGTCAGGACGGGGTGCCCTGGGGAACCAGAGCAGGGAGGTTTCAAGGGACAGTGGTGGGCTGAACCACTCGCACCCCCTCTCCCCACAGGCTTTCTGGTCCCCCGGCGACACTGGTGTGGTGTTCGTGGGCTGGTGGCATGAGCCCTTCCGCCTGGGGCTGCGGCACTGCACCAACCGCCGGTGAGTCCCTGTGGGGCACCCTGCCCCACAGCCGGACCCCCCGTCCCCACAGTGACACCCGTTTCTGCCGGCAGGTCAGCACTCTTCTACGTGGACCTGACAAGTGGGAGATGCAGTGAGTGGCATGCGCCCCAACCTCACTGGTGCCCTGGCTCCCCACAGCCCCTCACCGTCCCCTCATGCCCATGCAGAACTGCTCTCTGAGGACACCAGGGCCGTGTGGTCCCCGCGGCTCAGCCCCGACTGCTGCCGCATCGTCTACCTGGAGAATGATGCCCTGGGCCCCCACCAGCAGTGCAGCCGCCTCCGCATGGTGAGGGGCACTGGGGGGGACACTGGGGAGGTGGCGGGCTGCCCGTGCCAGGGCAGGGGCTGGCAGGAGGGCAGTGGCTCCCCCTCCGCAGGCTGCAGCAGGGGCAGGTGGGCTGAAACCCTGCAAAACTCACCCTGTGCCATGTCTCCTGCAGTACGACTGGTACACCAAGCACACCAGCACGGTGCTGGAGGCTGTGCCGCGGCAGGCGCAGGGTGAGTGCAACCCTGGGGGCAGTGGGAGGGGCGCCGGGGGATGCTG